ATATATAGTATAGTTATAGTATATCTATAATAGTATAAAATATATAGTTATTATATATAATATATGATAGAATATATTAGTGTGTTTGTGTATATATAATATAGTTTTATATGTAAAAAGGAAAAGAATTTAAGAAAGATAAATATTATTATACTACCATCATAATAAATAATTTGCTTTACAATAGCTTATTTATACTTTGTTATCTAAAGTATTTTTGTCTAAAGATAAGAGAGTCAAATTAAAGTTCCTTTAACAAATGTTATAGAGTGATTTTACAACACTCATTTCCGATATTTTACATAATGAAAAACATAGGATGCATTTGTGGAAGATATGTGTTATTATAATAAAAAAATGAATAATTCACGATTAATTAAGATAAATAATATACTTAAAAATTATATTCCTTTGTTGGATTTAAAATTTTGTAAAGCATTCTTGCTGGAGACAAAAGCCAAAACAGAAGTTCACTTAAATAACTTTATATATACAGATCGCTTTGTCTGTTCGCATTTAATCATTTCTCATTTAATAGAAAAACACAAACTACCATGGGGTGCATCTGCCAAAAAAGGACACTCACTGTATAGCTAAACGCAATGCCTCCATAATGGCTATATTTTGTGATCGTCGCTCTATGCGCTCCAACCATCCGCTTTATATGGTGCACCCTATTATATACTCGCTCTATAAGGATCTTCCCTATGGAAATCCTGAAGAATCCCGAGACTAAAGCACATCACGCCAACATCACGGGTCACCCTCGCTGGACATACGCGAGAGAGACAGGACTCGCAGAGGAAAACGCAACGCCGATTGTCAAATCGCGATAGACAACAACTCCGGATTGACCTCGCGGACGAGCAAACCCTCGTCATAAACCTGACCGGACGAACGCGTCTCGTACGCTCGACGATCGCATGGCAATCGGTGTCTCGGAGTCTCGGGTGCAGCATAAACGAATGTAAACTGCGCCGAGACGCTCGACGGTCCGGCGACCCTTTGTCTACCTTCGCTCCTTACGACTCATTGTCCGGATGCCCGAAGGGAAAGAGAGAGAGAGAAACAGCGAGCGATCTCGCGCACTGCATCTCACATCTCACCGCGGATTTGTTTGTTTAGCGTTCTCTCGCGACTCCGAGAAACCCTCCGTGCCAAACTTCCTTCCTTCCTTCCTTTCTTCCTTTCTTCGAGAGTCCCGTCCGGTACTCTTATCGCGCTTACACGACGTCGTACGCGATATCAAGATTGCGGGCAACAAAAACTCGAGGATAGTGTCGATGAATTTCGACGCATTTTTTTTTTCACTGCAGTTTTCTTTTCTTCCAGATTCTAGACGAAACACACACGATAACGAAAGGCACGACGCGGTGAGCCGCATCAGCTGCGGAGCGCAGCGGACCACAGCGGACTCACGTTCGCATACAGACAGCTGCGCACGAACGCACGTTCGTCGCCCGCGGCTGATTTGACGCAGTACCGTAGCATCCGCGATCTTCTCGATTCGGAGATTCTCGGTGTGTATATTGTACATACATACATAATCTCCGACACTGTGATTTAATGATCGTTTATTTTAAATGTTTTTTAGTGACGGAACAAAAAAGGATCTTGAATTATTTTTAATTTTCGGATTATGAAAACTGTCAAAAATTTGATTACAATCATGTTGACAAGAGCGAGATAGACGTCCGTTTTAACAGGAAAATACCGAATGCATATTTCGACAGAGTATTAACAGCGAATAATTATACACGCGAGAAACTTTATAATTTCTAGTCTTTAAAGAAAAATATATAAATGTAAAGAGATGAAAGAAAGAGATGAAAGAATTTTATCTGGAATAGTGCCGTGTACGGTCCTGAAGATTAGTCGCGATGCCGTGGCGTCGATTGGTGCGAGAAGGACAGTTGCTGTCAAAGAGTGCGAGGCTGAATCGCGGAGGAGAGCGTGGGAGAGATATAGACAACACACGCCGTGAACGGCATAAAGAAATAACACGCGTGTTACCCGGCCGTGCAGACCCATGAATACTCTACTGCGCAGTCGTCCTGAAAGGTGCAGCGACCGGCATATTTGTGCTATGCTTGTGGTGTTATAATCAAGTATATGTATGTGTGTGTGTATGTGTGTTTGGGGAATCGCATGCGACTATTTCTTGGATTCGATATTTTTTAGATTATATTATTAATCAACGTAAAAAAGTGCATTCTTGAAATTATTCCTCGGTCTTTCTTCTTTTAAATTATAAATTCGATTTAAATTTTATAAATTATAAAAATTTGTTTAATAATATTTATTTTAGACGGTAGTTTTTATAAACTAACATAGCAAACAAAAGTTTTATTTATATAATACTTATATAATTTATATAATAATTAGATATACATAAAAAGAAATAATAAATAAATGATATACTCACATGAAAGGGCAGCAGCTCATTAAGCTTCCGTTGGTGGTAAGTTTCTGATTACTTTTACAAGTAGGATTCGGGGGGATGGTTGTTGCCAGTCAAGAATGATCTTACATAGCCATGATGTTTTTCACTTGCATTCGTTCCTTATTTGTGAATAATGTTCAAAGTATAATAATCCTCTCTTTGCTATTTCGATATCCACTTGTCTGCTGTATAAGATAAAATTCGTGTTACACTTGTCTCACGTAAAAGCGGTATTGTTTGTATCGATCAGCTGACACTATATTTATCCGAGTGATTTGAGAATATTTCAATAATAAATACCATAAAAAAAAAGCATCGAGTATTTTTAATGCGCTTTATCACAGTTATCAGTTTAGAGAATAGGCGAGTGATTAATGAAATAATGTATATGATATAGGAATTTTTTTTTGCATGAATATATAATTGTATTTATTATTATTTCGCGCGTAAAAAGATCTCTCTTCCAGCTTGCAAATCTCTTTGAGGTAGATACATATGTGTGTTTATATATATACGTACGTGAAAAATAGTTTTAATAAACACAATGATTGACAACTGGAAGCGCCGTTATGTAGACTGAGAAACCGTATCAACGCGATATCAACGAGGGACTACCTATCTTGTTGATATATAATATGTTTGTCGGTTCATTAACCCCAGAATTGACGAATAGTGGGAATATTTTGACAAATGACACATCTGATGCGTTTCGAATTTTATCTACGCGTTGGACGAAAATATATACATATAAATAAAAATATTTCAAATCTTAACAGCACTATCGTTATTTAAAATAAAACGTGCAAGGCTCTGAAGCATATATTATAATATGAAACACGTAAATCTTTTTAATTTGTTTATATAAGCGAAATATTTGCTTTGTTCATAATTAGAGATTCTTAAATAAATTTTAATAAATTTTATAAAACGTGCGATTATTGAAAAATTTTAGCCTCCTTATTAAAAAAAAAAAAAGAAAAGAAAAAACAATAGACCAAAATTTTGGCGCCTTTACAGCTTCTACAATTTCTTAGAAATTCATTAACCACTCGCTGGCCCCCGAAAATATTCAACACAAAACTTTGCGCGCATGTCACCCACAATTTACGACACGCGTCTATCCCATCCAGAATAGAGAAATCGAAACATATTTTACGCGAGCATCACAAAATCGCACAAAACAGACGCACAAAATCATCGAACGGACGATCACGAAATTCACGATACTCGGAGATCTCGGCGAGTTTGCTAAAAGGAGGCCAAAGGACGTTGCGGATACCTCGCGAGGATGTTCTCTCCTCCCGCTACATCACAGGATGACAATACACGACGGGGGAGGGGTCGTATCGATGGAAGTTACAACGGGCGCCGTTCCGTCGAGAACATGATCGCGGAATCCGCTTTGCGCTCGGGACAAGACACAGGAACGAGCGGATATCGATCTCACGATGCTGCAGCAGGTGTCACGGTACCAGCTGTCGTAGCTCGCACTGTAAGACGGCTACCACAAGGACGACGGCGAGAAAAAGAGGGAAGAAGAGAAGGCTCTCCGCGCGAACTGTGTGAGAAAGCAACGCGGGGATGAAAACACACCCTCTCGAGGGGTGCGGGTTGCGCGCACGCGCGCGCGTCATGCTATTTGGGTCATGCGACGCGCGATTTATTCGACTCCGATCAAGATGACATCCGGTGTATCTACAACGATTCGGAGTCGACTATAATGCGGGAAGCACGTCAATCCTTTATATCCTTTGTATCCTGATCAGCTGATTTCGAACATCTCGCTCTCATTTTAGATATAAATAAAAGTTTATGCAAGGGAAAAGATATTCTAGCGAGAATTTAAGAAAAAAATGACAAGCAACTGTTTATCATTTATTTATACAATGATAAACATTTTTTTTAATAATTACACACAACACAGCGAGATGATCTACTTTTCTAATTTGCAATATTGGAGCATCTAGTATAAATATGATAACTTAACAGCAATTTTTCAACATATAATTAATTAATAAACTTATAAGCGTGCACACATAATTTTCATCAAACTATGACCTGCATTTTCACGGATGATAGGCAATTATAGATTTCATAGAAATATCTACCAGAGCTGTCTTAGTCCGCCAAAAAGGATCCCGCAATGGGTGATCGTCTTTTAAACTCCGAGGACGATCGTGGACGTTTCTTAAGCCGACCATTTGTAGCAGCGGAAGAGTATCGATGACAATCAACTACGAGAAGACACACGATGGTACTCGATCGAATTGTTCTAACGATTTGCATCCTTATTAGGTTTAGATCCTCAATATTTCGAGACGTCGCGACACGTCCGATCGCGCATCAATCTTCTCCACTGTTGTTACACGCGATCCCGTTTCTGTAAAACGATCGGATTATCCCGCGCACTTCTCTTTTCTTCCTCAACTTTATTCCGCTCGCGAAAAATTACCACCTGCCTGACTACGTGCTGCGACGTTTTCACCTTTGGAGTAAACATCTCTGATGCACGTCGAGCATGCGCCGCTGAAAGTGGGTCATTAGGAGCTTGACCGAAATCTTCGACCAGGACTTTGTGCCAGTTCCTTAAATTCGGCGATCGTTAATCGGCAAGAAACGAGGCATGATTTGCGCGCTAAATGATCTTTTATAAATCTCTTCGTTGAATGAAAAAACGACACAATTAATCTTTTTCGTCCTTGTTTCACTAAAACTTCACAAAGATTAGAAAAGAAATTATTTGATAGTTGTTAGAAAGAATTTTATGTGTCATATAAATTTCTATTCAAATAATATTTTATGACAAATAGTTCTTCTTTCCAAATTACTTGTAGAAGATGAAACACAGAGATGACAATTAAATTTATTAGTTTACTGTAAATGTTCTTTTAGTGAATGTATATACTATGATATATACAGTATTCGCAACTAAAAGAATTAATTCTACTTAATGCGACATAATATCTGCTATATTGTTGGAATTATGCTAATATCAATTATGTGCAATTGCAAAATCTAGATCATGTTACTAGTCGTGTACTATATCATTTGACATACGCATCGTGAATTCATACCTCATTTCCACGTGTTACCTAAGCCATTTTACCATTGTCACATTCACGCGTATATAATATTCATATAAGAAAAACAAATAAATTTAGCACAGTAATTTACGGCAATTGCTGTATCTCTATTATTACGAGTTTTATAACATTATAACTTTCGTATTTCAAAAATTTAATTTTCTTTTAATTAAAAAAGCTATTAGTCTAGAAACATTTAATATTATTCTATTTTACTATTATTTGATTTAAAATTATCAATATAATTTGAATCCCGTAATATTGTCCTACATAACATTGGATTTCATTTCTTCGATCTTTTTAATTGTCGACTATTCAATATCGCTCCAACCACATTAGCGTGGGAGTCGTTGCGATTTCAGATTAAGAAACTGCACTGAAATAAAAATGATTTTGCGTAATATAGGCAATGTAGCACGTTTGTTTAGTCTCTCCGACAGGCAGCTGCAAAATTGTACAGATTTTAACCGAAGTTTCCGACAATGTTCTTGAAATATTAGATATCGCCTCAGTCGACAAAATCGTTCATTATTTGCGTGAACAAATTTTTATTTAATTAAAAAAAAAAATTTCTATTTGTCATTTATATTATTTTTGTCAAATATGTTTTAAATGGTGTTAGATAACGTAAAATATATGCTTAGATTCATTTATTTATTATATACATACATATGATATGAACGGATAATGCGCAAGTGATTTTAAAATCGTGAACGCTGAAAAAGATCGTAAACGCTATGTCAGACGTGAACTTGTTTGAGTAAAATACCGTTGTTATCAACTTTATTATTTGGTAGCTAATTTTCTACTTACGATCTATATCATATATGAAAATCAGTTAAAAATTCTTATCTCTGCTTATTTTCTAATTTGTTAATGTCGTTTAATTTGACTTGTATAAGGAATTCGTTTACTATAATTGCTTATACAGAATTATCTTCCTTGAGATGCTGTTTGATCCAATCCATGTAGGAGGAGACTCGTGTAAATACATCTGGGCGTCCTCTAGCGCAAGGTAATCCCCAGGATACCACGCCGATCTGCTCATCATCTGCTACTAGAGGACCGCCAGAGTCACCCTATATATAAAATAAATAATAAATCTATTCTCTCTTTTGAAATAGAATATCATATTATTTTTACATATTTTTCCTTTAGCTTCTTATAATTTTATATATGTGTTTGTGATATATACTTTTTGCTTTTTTTTTTTTAAATATAAGTTTATAAAAAACAGTTTTGACATAAAATTTTCGATTAAGCGTTCAATGTTTTTTAATAGGATTATTATATCTTCTTAATGTTTATGAAACAAATACAAATTGATATCAAATGTTCGTCTTTTTTAGGACAAAAAACATTTCTGTTCCGGAATATTTTAATTAAGCTAGAGAATTCACTTACGTGACAAGCCCCCTCGCCCTTTTTGTTGAGTGTACAGATATTGTTGTTGGTGATGCGAAAACTGGTGTTTAAGCATTGTTTTTGATTGATGACTGTGAGCTGGATGTGCTGCAATTCATTTGGCGCTTCCCCGGGATACTGATAATCGAGTACAAAATAATCATTATCAAAATGAGCGTAATTAATTCATCAACGAGTAATGCATATAGAACCTCGAATTCGTGAAAAATAGTAGGCAGATAGCATTATATAGATATATTTTGATGGATATATATAAAAAAAACTGATATATATGTATATATTAAAAATGCTCCATAATTTTTATGTCATAGCATATGACACATAATTAACTAGCTTTATGTACTTACATTGGTCGTACCCCAGCCGGACAGCATTGCCGGATAATCGGATTTGTCGAAGGGTTGAGTGGGCAGAGCAATCGGTTTCACTTTGTCTCCAAAGACAATGTCTCTATCCAGTTTGATTAATCCAATGTCGTTTCTTATAAGAGCGGAATTGTAAAAGGGATGCACCAATCTCTTGATTGAAGAATACTCGTCGCCACCTTTATCCAGGGTATTTGTGCCCAATACAACGGTGATAGCCGTGTCGTTAAAACTGTTAAATAAAAATTACGAAATTATAGAATCACATTTATAAGAATCAATTTATTGATTACGGACTTTGCCTTTTAGTTTTATATCGTTAATAGTAAATATATTCTATATAAATTTTTTTGTAGTCATAATTGTGGTTGCTTAATTATATTGTTGAAATAAAAATGTTATTATTTCTATAAAATGTTTTTTTTATAACCGTAGTGTCACGTACTTTGACAAACAATGAGAAGCTGTGAGGACCCATCGTTTATCTATGACAGAACCACCACAGAAATGCCGATTGCGGAAACGAAGGGACGCTTGATAAGGGTATTGTCCTTCAGCGGCAGAACTACCGCCGACGATTTTTGGTATTTGATTGGACGATTCTGTTGTGTCCATTGAAGAAGCACCTTTTAAAAAGTTGTATAATATCTTTATCATTTGCTGAGGTGTAAAATAATTTTAATTTATTACAACATTGAATTTTTTTATATAAAATATTTTCAAGGAATGATATAATATAATCATTTTTTGCGCCAAAAACTTCTTTCTTACATTTTCCATATTTTTTTTAATTAATAAATCAAGCACCCATACATAAAAGAGAATTTTAGTATAGTAAATTATACATATGTTATATTACACAAACACAATAAATTGATAAACTTAATTTAATAATTGCTCAAGTGACAGAATATAAGATATATATGTTATATCTTTAATTTTTTAATAAACGACTTATTGACAAAAACTTTTACCTGACAATTCATGTATTGCGACAACACCCAAGATACAGAATACCAACAACATTTTTGCTAGACAATGATATCAATCCAAAACACAAATTTTTTTTTTGCTTTCCACAAAAGTTTAAAAGTTAAACGCCAATTTAACTCTCGTCTACCACCGGTTCTTATATATACGCGTAAAACATGACAATTAAGGAAATGCCATCGGGTATTTAAATTTAGGTCAGATACTGTCCACATAAAAAAAAACCCGAATCTGTTTGGTCTTTGATGTATCTCACGTGCAATGTGATAAGTAGGGCGATATGTCAGTAACCACGACAATTAATGACCGGACATAGTTGCTATCATTGTTTCGGAACAGAAGTAAAATGTTCATTGCTGAAATACATAATCGTAATTTATGCGCGACTTAAAACCAGACTGCGATACAGATTTTCAATTTATAGCGCACATAATTTTCTGAAAAAAAAAGATATAAATATACTAAAGAAATATTATCTGTTAATATATACTTACAATATAAAATTTATAAT